GGAGTTATGCCGTAACACACATAAAAAAAAAAAAAAAATATATATCGTCGAATTGAATACCTCCTTCTTTTGGGAAGTCGGTCAAAAAGAGGCTTATCACATCAATAGTAGACTTTAAAGAGGATGCAATAAAGTGTCGTGCATGTTCGGGTTTGCGACAGCCGGTCCTCCAGCTGATATGTTAACAGAAGATTCTATTAATGTATTCCAATGCTCGTTTGTGATGGACACAAAGGCACGATGATTCACATATCGTGGAGCGAGCAGTTGCTTCGCTGGGTTCAATTGTGGCGAAAGAATGCCAAATCTGTTCTAGCGTGCCAGTGGCGCGTGGGCCACCGATCGATATGGTTGTTGTTTGGTTAGCCGCGGTTGTGCTCGCCGCCACCGCGCTTGGCGCCACTATCGCGCGTGAGTCTCATTTTTTTTTGCTTTTTAACTTATTTGAACTTTAAACAAATCATTTTTTATTAATACTATTTTTTGTTTTTTTACACTTAACATTTTTATAAAAAAAATTATATTCAGTTAACGATTCACAACATTTTTTTTTCACTAACAATAATAAGGAACATTATTTATGATTTAAATTTTAAATTATAATTTATCATTCTCATTGAATTGCGTTGCATTTGTCTTGCATAACATCGACCTAATCTGTAAAAGGAACGAACGCGTTTAAACTAACGTATTATTCACATACATTTGTTATGTCATCAAAATTACGTAATAATTACTGTTGAAACCGACTATACGAGTTTACTTCAACTTTACAATAGACACAATCCTTTTTTAAAAGCTTTAATAAAAAATGTGTAAAACCCCATTTGTGATAAAAAAAAAAAAACTTTTTTACTTTTTACACACCTACTAATTTACATTCTACAATGGTATTATACTCTTCCAGGTATGAACTCTAGGTGAGTACTACAATCATAAATCTCTGCGCACACTATTAACAACATATTAAATTAAACAAATCCAATTATTATCCCATGGCACGACGAATGAACACATTCTACAAAAATTGTCACTAATTAATGCGTTTATAATAACGTTTCATGTTCAAAAAACTTACATTTTTCATGCACTTCGTTACATTTTATAATTAAATGTTGAAATGTCACAACCATGGTGTAATAAAATCGAATTTAGCGTAAGTATAACATAAAAACTGTCAGTTTTTTCATTAAAATGTGAAAAAATCCATTGACGGATTTAATAAAATTTCAGTTCGAGTAATACCTCTAAGAACACCATCGTCTCAAACTTTCATAAATTCAAGTCGAATCGTGAGGAACTTGCAACGTGTATGTACGTAGATCTGTGTTTAAAAGGGAAGCACTGATTTGGTGATAGGTTGCACTTGTACCTTCAATTATTAACAATTAAAACATCTTGGGTGTTGGTTTAACAATAGGTCCGCATGATGCTTAAAATTTTGATAATTGACAAGAGCAATTTAAGTAATTTTCCCTAGGTTTAAAGTAGTATGTAAAATAACATTTTATTAATAAGTAGCTGATCCCGTGCGACTTCATCCGCATGAAATTATAAAAATGATATTTTATTGTTACATATGTCAAATTCTCAATTGCAAATGTCAAAATACCAATTACCTTACTACGGCAATCTTGCTTCTTGATGTTGGCAGCTCGTATCGTATGGTCTCTTTCCCACATAAGGGCTTTTATCCAAAATATTTACCTCCTGAGTTTAATAGCGTGAAAATATATAACCTAAAGCGTGACGTAAGTGTAGGACTTTTTATTACAAAAAGAATTATTCAAAAATATGCTGTAATTGATGACATCATAGGAAACAAAGAAGTGTGTGTTTACGCTTTATTATACATATATATAGTATATACGAGTAGGATAGATATAGATATAAATAGATATCGCAGGTAGAAATTCAAAAATGTTTGGAACTGACAATATCTTTCGATAAGTTACGTGCTTGTCAGGTATTTGTTCCATCATTTTGAGAATTTGGCGAGTCTACTTGCGATATCACTGATCGAAAGTCACGGTGTCTAGGGATGCTGTTTTGACGTTTATTATTATTTGAAGTCAATATTAATCCATGTTCATACTGAAATTGTGAAAATATTTTTTAATACGGACGTTAACAAACTACAGTCATGTTGTTTGCGATGTCATTCAATAATAATTACGGTAATAGTAACGTTTGCTTGTATGTTATTATTTACTGTAAAGTAATAACTATTGATTTAAACAATTCGTAGACAATAACATGAAATGTGCGAAAGATGACGTCACAGTACGTTCTTGTAATTCTAAATTACAGTCGTGTCACTGACCATAAAGTGAACATCCTGTACTTTCGCTCATATAAAAAAATATAAGTTCAGACCCACGCAAATAATACTTCAACTTCTTTCTTTGCACGCATTAAAAGTAATGGCTCAATTTATGTCGTGTCAGTGTTAAAATGTTAGGGCGCTTTGTCTGAAGTTATAGAATAAAAAAGGCTACAAGCCAGAACTTCAAAATTGTTATCAACCACTTTTAGATGTTTTGAAGCAATTAATACAAAATTGAATGTAAATAAACATGTTTTAATCCACAAACTTTTAGTCTGAATTCACTACTTTTTAATATCTAAGCTTGTTATTATACCATAGTTTAATAAACGATTTAATATTTCAGCGACAGAAAAGCATTCGCTGGAGAAATCCAGTTGTGGGAGAGTTTGGGTGACAATACATTCACCTGCAATAAGACTGGCCGGCGGAGGGGAAATATTGGATGCTATTGAACTCAACTGGGATTTTGCCGATTGTCACGACCCACCTGACCAAGTAAGTAAACTATCCATTCGACAAACAGAGTTACATCTCTTAATAACTTCGATAAGAAATGTATGACTAAGGACCTGACACACCAAATTGTTAATTTTCTGATAACAATTCAACGTGTAAAAAATGTGATAGAAATATGTGATTTTGTTCCCTATTTGACAGTGACGTCATTTTTAAGCTATCTGAGTCTCTATCAGTCAGGGGTGGGACAGGCCCTAAGAGATTTCACAATAAAGTGGAGAATATGCCTAGCTTTAATGGGGATGTTTCCTAATTTTTGGAATTGCTTTTATTATGTAGATAAACCGTATCTAAACATGAAAAAATATGTAATAAAATCATATACGCAACATTTCATTACAAAAACACTTAACTAAAAACAACTTCTCCAAAGACCGCGAAAACGCCTCATGACGTCACTTTCTTGCTTACAAACCTCGCGTCGCGGTCTGTCAAAGTCAAATTTCTAAAACAGACATCTTGAATTTTGATAGTTATTATAACAAAATGTATTTTTGTTTAACTATTGTTGTAAATAAAAAGAAGCATATTACAATACGTATGCAGTGCCAATAGTAAATGTACGACAGTCAGCATAGGTCCAATAAAATAAAAATAAATAGCAATAGTAAATTGAATATTAGCTACTCAAATAACTTTTACTATTTTTTTCGTCATATTAATCGAAAATTTGCTCGTAAAATATGTCGTAAATATAAAAACACTTAATAATGGAGTCCTCATAATATAACACACGAAAACTCAATTCTTATAATCATTTAAAAAAAATTATAACTACAAAATGCACTGACATTCACGGAAGTTGGTCACGCTGCCATGTTATATGCGAAGAAGTGACGTCATTGGTGTTTGAGATCGAGTAATGGAGGGTAAAAAATATTGCAGCGTTTTTAATTTATATTTAATTTGAGACAAACATTCAAGGTCTCTAAATGTTATTATAGGCTTTGAAATGCTGTCTTTAAAATATTAAACATAACTTTATTTGGATTTGTAACATTAGGAAACATCCCCATTCGAGGAATTAGTTCGTATAAAAATCTTTTTTTTTAACATTAGTAGATTTACTGTTAATTTACTAATATTTCTTTTAACCACTTCAACTAAGCTCTAGGCTTGTGCTAGGATATGGATCACGACAATAGTCGAATGGCGGGATTCAAACCCTCGACCTCAAGATCGGTAGTCCGTACGTCAAACCATTAGGCTATTGGCGCTTGCCAGGCAGGCTCTCTCAAATAAAAGACAGAGATAATGTGTTCTTGTCAACATCAATAATGATGGTAAAGAGTGTCAGATATAATACACTTAAATAGTTACTTATGTACTTCTGGATGCATAATAATCTAACATACGTTATATCACAAACGTATTACATGCATCAGGATGTCCGTTCACCTGACGACCGCAATTTAAATGCGGTAGGCGTTTAATTTACGGTCATAAAGCAGATATCTACCGCGTTTCCCACACGACATTATTTTCCACACCGTCCACGTAACATCATACACATAAAAAAGGTTCTTTTATGAAAGTAAACTATTACAAAGTTTAAAATTATCATTAAATTTTTCGAATTCTGCCTCCACTTTCTTGTTACATTTACTAATAACATAATATTAGTTGTAAATTGAAAATCACGTGTTGTATTTCGCAACATTAATAAATATCTTACAAGCTATTGTATGCAAATTACAACTGGAAGAGGCAATTTACTATCCTAGTTACTATTGCTCGTGAGTAGCCCCACGTGAGATCCATTGACGACCTATTTTTATATCACGATCACTTGTACCCTTTCAAATGATATTACGAAACTAGATAATAGTGGCCAATGAATAGAACATAGCAAGGACATGTCGTTGGTACTGGTCAATTACCCTAATGTAATGTTGCTAGAGTTTTTTTTTTATAATAGATTGTTTTCCCCTATGGAGGTGACAAAGTACTAGAGAACCATCTCCTATTGCAAAAGTCACTAAAAACCAATTTTTCTCACATTGGGTTATAGCTAACAGGAAATTTACTACTACTACTAGTTAGCCATATGATGCCCATTGCTGGGCATAGGCCTCCCACAACGAACGCCACGATGATCGGTCCTGTGCCTCTCGCATCCAGGATACTCCCGCAACCTTGACCAGATCATCGGTCCATCTTGCGGAAGGCCTACCCACGCTGCATCGACCTGTCCGTGGTCGCCATTCCAGGACTTTGCGGCCCCATCGGCCGTCTGTTCTGGAAATTTGATTCAATAAAAAGATAAACCTTTGATTGAATAATGTCTTGTTTCATGTGTTCAATTATGTTGTTTTAAATTAGCTAAACACCATTATTGCTAATACTAGGAATGCAATAATTATATGGAAACTAATGGTAACCCCACATCAACGTTGATGACAATGAATGAAGGATGGCACGTATTAGTTATAGCCTGTCCACTTTCTCTTGAAGGTATCCACCATAATCGATGGCAACATAACGCATTGGCTTGTTTAAATCTTTATCCTTATGTATTACTTATTAGCTTTCGCCCGCGACTCCGTCAGCGTGGAATTAAAAAAATATAAAACATAGCCTATGTTACTCACTGACAACGTAGCTTTTTAATGGTGAAAGATTTTTTGGAAACGGCCCCGTAGTTTCTGAATTATTTACTACAATCAAACAAATCGAGTTTTCCTCATTATAATATTAGTACAGATAGGCGAGAAAGTTAGGAGCTGCGCATCGATTTTCTATCTTCATGCCAAATTTGTAATTATGTTTAGTAACTATCTATCTACCTTTATGTGTCTAGAATTTAATTAATCTGAATACTACAGTACACAAATTTAGACATGGTAATAAAAACCTTTATCAGAATTTTTACCTTATATACATAACTATTGTAATAATTAGTATAAAATACCAATATTTTACAATTGACATTACAGATAGGTCTTTTTGACCACGAGCCAGGAGCTTGGAACGATGCGCTAGTTTTCTACCCGATAGAGACGCCGCAAGGTCGCATAGTGACGAAGAGATCTCTGGGGGCGAGCACACTGCCTGCTGGTTGGAACACCGGTGCTGGTGGAAGAGGCCCGCATTGCTTGTGGCCGTGGGTCGCCGCCGGACACTCCGGAGGCAGTTCTGAAATCAAGGCGTATAACTGCTTGAAGATACAACCAACATGGATGGAAGATAACGCGTAATTATCCCTTATATTACTACCTTATCTACCTGTGCAATCATTATCAGCAATATTTTTACCCAACAAAGATCTCATTGTGATTTAAGTTTTAAAAACATAACCTTAAGGATTACTATATCCGTAACGAAAGCAAGTCTATTGAAATATCTTTGAAACTTTTAAAAATGTATGCACACATTTTTAATGTAAAATTTTTTGTGAATTCGACAATTGAGAGAGAATTTGAGATTTAAAACTCTGCGAGCATATTTTTCTAGAAAATATTTTCTTAGTATAATTTTCCTTTAAAAATGTTTGAGTTTTATACTCTTCAACGCCATTTCACAGTACAAGTACTTGTACGTTCGACGTACTAATTTATAAACTGTGACCTAAATTAACTTAATGAATATTAATAACGATGCTGCTCTTTCCTTACGTAACAGAAAATAGATACATGTATACATACTATACTTACTGTCTACTTTGTTACTTTTCCTTTGTTACCTACCACAGTGGTAGTGCTCTCTTGAACATCTAAGCACGAATGGGCCGGCACGCCCGGTGTTATACCACGAGCACACAGAAGACAGGCGTGAAATGGAAACGATTCCGTGTTTCGTCTGATGAGTGTGGCGCCGGAGGCCTAATTTAATTCCCTTTCTCTTTACCACCCTTTTCTTATAAGGAGAGGATGGGAAGGGGAAGTGGACTAGACGGAGGAGGTGATGCTAAGGAAGGGGAAATATCCTCTTTATTATATGTTCGTCTCCTCCTCTGTTGGATAAGGGTAGGCAACAGGCAACAGGCAACGCATCTGCAATTGCGGATGTCTGTGGGCAGCGGTTGCTTCGCCATTTTGGCAGATTCAGGTGGCCGCTTGCTCGTGTGCTACATTATCGTATAAAAAAACCTAAGGTTTAGAATAGAAACACAGAACTCTATGACTTAAAAGGCCCCACTAGAAAAAATACCTTGTTTGAGAGTTGAAGCATTGATTACTTCAAATATTTCTATATCTTAATAAGTAACCATCCTTTTTTGCAGAGCAAGGATCAACAAGCTCCGCATCGGTCAGTTGGTGCTACCAGGAGCACATAACGCGGGCGCGTGGAGTTTCGACACTGAGATCAGCAGCGTAACCAGAGACAACTTCGTCCTCTGCCAGGACCGCTCCATCTGGGCGCAGCTCGTCCACGGCATCAGATACTTGGACTTCAGGATAGGATATTACGAATTTTATACGGATAAAAATGAAAGGTATGCTTTATAATAATTGATTTTATACTTATTTTGGAACTCTACTAATACTAATCGCGACCTGTCAATTAATTCCTTGATGCTTTCGTATCGACTTGACTTCCTGACTTTCAATGCCTTATTTTAAAAAGAGTAAAATTATTAATCTTATGATAGAATTCTTTTTACTTTTTCTCCATTAGGACATAAGTCCTTTTTGTAAACAGACTTAAAGATCAGTTTTTTCACCTGAAGAATTTACGCTATTGTTTATTTCTATCATCGATAGATTGCTACCATTATCTGAACGTTTTTCAATGATCTAATTTTTATTTATGATTCCGAATAGATCATTGTTCCAATTGTTAGAATAGCACAAAACGTTCTGAAAGTTTAGTAACCTATTTTTACACATAAAGGTTGGTTTTAGTGTTAGCTAAACTGCGTAGACTGGGATAATATGAAATATCCTTTGAAACGGAATCAAAGAGTTTGGGAATGTTGGCGGAATCCCAAAGTTCAGCGTACACTCAATTACACACGTAATTGGAGTATACAACAGTTTTAGTAAAAATAACAAGCTTTTTGAATCGTTCTTTTTTTAATTGACAATCATTATGGTATGTCAAATATTAAACGTTGAAATTTCATAACATCAGTGGAAAATCATCGTCATCTTTGTTGCTAATTGTAATCTAATCTTTTCTTCGTAATAAAGTATTCTTTACATCCTGACTACATAATTTTCAGTAGCCTTTTCAAAATGTATCATGACCTTAATCAAAAGAAAGATAGAAATATATATCTATACTCTATATACTCTATTCTTAAGTAATAAAGCGTAAACACACACTACTTTATGGCGTAGGATGTCAGCTATTACAGCAATTTAAAAAAACATCTTTCTTTAATCAAAAAACCTTGCTCTTACATGATAGGCTATATATTTACACGCTATTAAACTAAGGGGACAGATAAATTGGTATTTTGACTTTTGTAATTGTGAATTGACAAGTGTAAATAAAATAAAGTTATTTTAAACCTCCATGTGGGTAAATCACACGGGAATAGTTAGTCTAATGTAATTTAGAAAACGATTTCTGTCTATTTGTATCAACACATGACGAATGCGAATGCGGTGCGTTGATTAGCGGTCTCGGCTCGCTTCCGTAGCCGTTGCATAATATCGTTACGTGCCTCAACCTACATACAAGAATGGTTTATGTTAAAAACAATTCGTTTTCAGATACTGGTTGAATCACAACTTAATAAGAGTCCGTCCCTTGGTGCCTTTGCTGAAAGAAATAAGAGCATTTTTAGATGCAACTAATGAGGTAAATATTTTTTTTATGTACAATACTACTTTATTTTATTTATGTTTTAGCTGCTCTTTCATACATTTAATTTTACTGTTTGTGTTAATTTTAGTGATGTAATTTAGGTTAATTTTATGGAAATTTTATTCTTTTTATTTTTAATTTTTACGAAATTTACAGTTTTATCAACCAAAGCGTTAGAATTTTTTTGTCCTTCTTAAGTCATAATTACAGTTTACTTATATCGATTAAAATTTCAAAACATCATCGAAATATGGAAAACTGTGACTTTAATACTTTTAAAGTAGCCATTATTATATGTTTTTATTTCAATTAGGTCGTGTTTCTGGACGCACATCACTTCCCAGTGGGATTCTACGAGCAGGACGGCAGCCCGATACGCAGTGTGCATGCTGGCTTGTTGGAACTAGTGAAGCGGGAGCTGGGCCCGCACCTCGCGCATGCGCAGCAGCTCAGCACCGGCCCCGGCACCCGAGGACCTACGTTGCAGTCTCTACTCAATATCAACAAGCGACTGTTGTTCAGTTACGTCGACCATGCGGTTGTTACAGGTAATACAAATTAGTAACGACGTCGGCAAAGGTCATATTTTTCGTGATTTTTTTAATAATTACATATCCAAATCGTATTCAACACTTCATATAAATACGAAAGATTTGATGGATGGATATTTGTTACTACGCCACTCCATAAAACTTTATATAGATATAGAGCACAGTCTGGAAAAGTCATATGCTACTTACTAATTTTTTTTTTTAATTCCACGCACACCAAACTAGTAGTGATATAAAACGCAATCTCGCAAGTTTCTTAATAAGAATTCATAAACCTATTTTTGTCGGTTCCCTAGTGTCCGAATAAATCCGAGATAAACAGCATTGTGCCAGTTCTTTCTAGATTCAAGTAAACAGTTCAATCAATAACGTACTCTAAGTAAATTATTCTATACCCATCTGTAACAAAAGTATAGTAAAATGAGATAAAAACATTGTAAGAATATATGATTTCTTTGTATAAACATGTTTACCTCATATAACTATTTCTGAGGAACAAATGTTATCATCTTGATTCTTTCAAATTACAACGAATTTCGAGAATCACAACAAAGTTAAGTAAATATACGTCTAGTCTAGACTATTCGATTACAATTAACGAGAAAAATTACATTATAACATATTATTATCCTCGATGAGCTTGGCAAATGTAACTTGGAAAATTTTCTTCGCAATGTTTCTTTTGTATTACGATTTTAATTATAAAACAATATAATTAGACAAGACTTATAATTAAATGGTTATATACGAAATATAAAATCTCTTTATAATTTCAAAATTTTGCTATAAAACGTTCGTCTCTAAATTTCGTCTCGCGATTTTGAGCTAAACTATTAACTTCGTCGTAGTCTTTGACTCCAAAAATCAAACAAAAAATGGGCAACACCTGCAAGCATTACCTTTGGGATAAAAAAAGAATTATCAAAATCGGTCCTTTAGCGGCGGAGTTATGCTGTAACACACATATAAAATAAAAATAAAAAAAAAAACATACAAACGAATTAAGTACCTCCTTCTTTTGGAAAGTCGGTCAAAAATAGCGTAAACGGTATACCCTTAGTACATTTCAATTCTTTTGTTATAATGTCAGGAAATAGCTTGTTATAATAATCTAATCTTATGTAAATACCGTTTTAATCATTTTATAATAAAATCGAAAAAACATAAAAAGTGAAACAATTAATTAAAATTAATACAGCTTTCGTCAATCGGAAAAACAAGAAAATACTTATATAACTAAGTAGGGGTCAACAACTTAGGGTACTAAAGTTAACAGTAGCTAAGCTCAAGAGTTCTCGAGATCGGCTCTACTTGGGTTTACTCTAAGCACGTTAAGATCATAACTTAATGCCCAAGCGGCCTAAAAACAGCTTCGTCAGTAACTTCAGATACATTATTATAGTTACGTGACTTTTCTATTTGAACAAATGTTTTGATATAATCTTTACTATCCTTCAAATCTTACTTCTTAATATTATTATATATGCGAAAGTTTAGATTACTAGATAGATCATCGTACTCAGATTCAATAAGTAAATGCTACAACTACAGTAATTTAGAGGGTCAAACATCTAATTTAGTTCCAAGAATCATTTGAAGTTGTATGGGAATATATTAAATATGGACGTCTGTTAATAAATGAAAGTGACAGCTAACCATTTCCTTGTGAGGCAAACCTGGATATGAATAGAAACAACAAGCAACTTTACAAAGCATATATTCATTAATTCAATTAGTAAAACAACACAATATTATAGAGATCTCATAAATAGTATTAACCAATACAAATTATAAAATGCAATTCACATAATTGTCATGATTGACATTACTTGTCCAACAACCCATATATACTTTTATATACAAAATAGCTTTGTACAAATGGTAAGGTTATTACAGTTATTTATTAAGAGGTATTACGGTAAATATAAAATAGGTTACTTAACTCTCCATGGTCAGGCCCATGGTCCGCTCCTCAAAAGTCCACTCGCTACACTATGGTGTGCCTCTACCAACCTGCTCCGACTTTAAGTACCTCGGTTCTCTAGTCCAGTCCGACGGTGGCGTTGACCGAGACGTAAAAAGCCGAATAAATGCAGGTTGGATGAAATGGCGACAGGTTACTGGTGTGACTTGTGATCCAAGAATGCCTCTTAGGCTTAAGGGACAGATCTACAAGTCCGTCATAAGACCTGTCGTGTTGTATGGATCTGAATGCTGGGCCACCAAAGTTGCGGATGAAAGGAGATTGCATGTGGCTGAGATGCGTATGTTAAGATGGATGTGTGGTGTGACAAGATTGGATAAAGTTAAGAATGTGTACATTAGAGGAAGTTTGAAAGTAGCGCCAGTGGTGGAGAAATTGAGAAGCAAAAGGTTAGCGTGGTATGGACATATTATGCGACGAAATGATGGGGACATAAACCAGAAAGTGTTGAGATTGAATGTGGATGGCTACAAAGGAAGAGGAAGACCGAAGAAAGTATGGATGGATTGTGTGAAGGAAGATATGCTTAAGAAAGGAGTGGATTCAGATATGACGGCTGATAGAGATGTATGGAAGAGCAGCACATACTGTGCCGACCCTCCATAAGGGATAAGGGCAAGTGGATGATGATGATGCGAAAGTTTAGATGGATGGATGTTTATTAGAGTTTATAGCCTAAACGGCTAAATAGATCTCGATTAATTTGGGCATAGATATAGTAGATAGTCTGAAAGAACGCATAGCTTTTGTTTTTTTTCTAATTCAAACGAACGGAGTCGCAGGTAAAAGCTAGTTTCATAATGTCTATCTTATCATTTGATTGCTAAGATATTTGGTATATTATCAAAACAAATCGTAGAAATAAACTCTTAATCTGAGTTTGAATCAATTTCGTATTATTTAATAATGCTAGTATTTTTCAGCATTCGAAGAAAATTATTGTTTCACAAGAGATTAGATTGCCTATAATATTGAATGCTTATTACGTTATTATTGAATCTACTATTTATCTTAGCTTTAATAAAACAGATCAAAATTGATATGAAAATTAATTCATCTTTAGTAAATAAAACTAGATTATTAAATCTAATTAGGTCTTATATAATTAGGTCAACGATGTTAATATAGCTTTACATTCTTAACTTTACTTTTCTTTTTCAGAAAACAGATGGCTGTGGCCTATCCTACCTCACCTTTGGGCAAATACAAACAGCCCTGCTCTCTTATTTGAGTACTTAGACGATGCGATAACCTCATCACCACAACCTCATGCGCTGTCACCATTATTCTCCGCTATGGCACAAACAACGCCGACAGTCCTAGATATACTGTTACTACGTGGATCGCTACGAGCTAACGCTGAGGCTGTTAATAAAATTATAACCAGTCGGTTAAACAGCCATTGGCGACGTCACGCTAACATCATCTCTACAGACTTCTTCCTAGGCAACGATGTCATCGATCTATCGATAGCACTTAGTTCAGAACGAGGTGCTCGATTATGACGAAGTGAAGCGGGTCTCCGGGTAAATAGGTCGATTTGAGGTCGCTCGTTAGTACGCCGCCTCGCAATTCGTTCTATTCACACCGCACAGATTTATCTAGATAAATAATGATCGGAAACATCTAGTGCACTGCCATACATTCCATTGATGATAGTGAGATATTTTGTAAGTTTTCTATTTAGAAATTAACTAGTCAGGCTTTCTGGAACAGTTGTCAAACTTTATACTCAGAGTACGAGAACTGCTGTTTCAAAAGTTTATCTTCTATTTCAAAGTTTAGCAATGACACACGATGTTTTAGTTATGTAGTAGTGATAAAGAAATTGGGGTAAAAAAATCAGGAACTGTAGGAATCAAAATATTAAAGACATGTGTATTGTTTCTTTTTTGTGATTAATAATAACCTTAGTTGACTAAAATGTGTATTTTGGGTATTTTTTTTTTATTTCATGGTTGTTTTTCAACAGAGCTCAGTTTATTGGCACCTCTGTTCAACAAGAAATGTACATATGTAAATTACGGTATTATGTAAGCAAAAGTCATCGATTGTTATTCATCAAAGGATAAAATAAAAACAGTATTTAAAAATATCTTCTTTTTACTTATTCAAATAAAGTTACGACTAATATTGGTATTAATAAATAGAACTTAAACATTAAAAATACTTGTACTTGTAACAAAAACGAGGTAGATTCACAGTGCGTTTGCACCAAACTTATAAAATGAGGGCTTGAGTCAGGTGTGCGGCGCCAATAGGGGCAGCAGCTCGGCGCGACTCATGCGCGCAAGCTGACGCGCGTCTAGGCCCATGGCGGCTGCCGCACCGCGCACGTCCAACCCGAAGCTCTGCAGCAGTGCCGCCAGCGCCACCTCCTCTCCCGTGCGTGGATCCCGCAGCCGCGGACACGACCCGTTGCACTGCGGCCACGAGCACCGCTCTACCAACCTTCTCGGAGCGCATCGCGCCCTCTCGCGCGTCCCTCTTTCCAACCGACGTTCCCAACACGAGATCGCTCGAGGCAGCGGCACACCCGAGACGTTGATCGCCAGCCACTCCGGCCGAGCCAGCGCACCATGAGCTATACATGCCGGTGCGAACGTCGATCTGACCGTTTTCAAGCTAGACCGCAATGCCGTTCCCGTTTGATGCACGTCGTCCCACTGAGCGCGGGTTCGGGGCGCGCGGACGCCTTCCGCTGTCAATTGCGCGGAATCGAACAGATATTGAAAAACAAAAAGCGGAGTCCGTATGTGAGGGTAAAGGCGATACCCAAAGTAGCATAGCCACGGCTTCGCGGAAAACTCGCGTACACAAGAACTTGGCGGAGAACCACGCCAGTATGAGTGTCCTAATCTCGCAACTGCATCCGTCGAAAACGAGCGCCGACCTTTTGCCGGTCGATCAAGAAACCAGCCCGAATCGGCAATCGCTGCGACCCGCACCCCATGTGGCCTCAGCACTCTTCTAATAGCATCCGCATTCAGCATCACCCCAGCGCCACCGGCACTAGATCCGACGAGCAGCAATCGCCCAGCCAGACCGAGCCGAAGAAGATCAGCAAGGACCGACCGGACTATGAGACGGCCCGCGAAAGTAAAGCTGCCGTTTGTTGATGCGAGGCGAGTGCCGGCCCACATGTCACTCGAGCAGTAGGGTAGTAAAACATGGTTGGAAGAGTGCCACAGCGGGTTTGCTGCGGGGTCGGCTGAAAGCAGCGCGGGAGCCCGGCGCGCACGCGGCCAGCGCGTAGACGACATGAGGCCAGGCCGGCGCCGCCAGCGTGCGCCGCACGACGCCGCGTCCCAGCAGTAGCCGCCGCCCTCGAGGTATACCACCCAATGCTGACTGTTGCTCCCGCGACGAAAGTAAAACCTGAAACATAAAACGCTCCATAAATATGACTTAAAATACCTCAAGGAGGCATCTACATATAAGTCGCGTTCGAGGTAGCGGAGCAGTGAATTGTTTTTGTAATAATCAAACTCGGGTGTTCTCGTTGACTGCTGTCACTTTTCTTAATAGATCGTTATATAGTTACCCGGCCGGCGAGCCGTCGTTGCAGGTGAGCGTGGTGTTCGCAAGCAGCGCCAGCCGCAGTCCCTCGCGCCGCGCCGCACTCTCACTGCTGACGCACAATACAACCTGTGTATCAACAAAGGAGTGAACATCACAACTAAATAAAGAATCAATATTATTTTTCGGAAGAAATTCAAGATCTTCTCATCGTTCACAGAATTGCTAGAAAAGATGCTACAAGCTAACAGTTAAAAAGACGAGTGTAAACACATTAAGATTCAAGCGAGATGCAAACCGCTTCCTAGCCTTATCATCATAGCTCCTCATGAGTAACCATTACAACAACATTAAGTATATTTTTTAATTAAGCGGTACGCTCAAAGCGTATTATTTTCTGTTTATTTCACGAACACGTTTTTCATGCAAGTGCACATTATTAAGTCACATTCTCCGAGCGATGCGTCCAATATGAATAATTCAATTTTATGATGGCGACTTGCGTTTACTTACAATAAATATCATTAACACGATATAGTTCGTAGGTATTTTAATATTTTGTCTGTTAACTTTTGATAACTGTAGGATCTTTTTAATGTTCCTTTCCTTGTTTCTATAAATTAACAAGTAATGTAAACATACATTTTTCAAACTTAAAACAACTCTTTCGTTTGCTGAACATTTGTCATTGCTGTTTAAAGGCACTTGTAAAGCTTTATTTATTTTTCACACTATACTATAAAATTTCTGTAAAATAATCACAACAAATGTTTACATATCTTTTTGACTAGCTGTTGCCCGCGACTTCGTCCTCGCAATGTTAAGATAAAAAAAGTAGCCTATAACATGGCCGTCTATATTAGCTACCATTCAGTAAAAGTCTGGTCGAAATCGCTCAGCTATTTCGGAAATTACCTGGAACAAACGCGGCTTGCGGACAGACGGACAAAAAAAAATTGTTATCAGCAAGTTGCTGACAGCAACGCAAATACATCATCTTCCCGAAAACTCGAAGTTTTCTTTGGATATTACAAATAGACACGCCAATTTTATTATATGTATAGGCTAATATGTATTTTAACCCCAGTAGGATTAGCATATGTATTCGATCTTGAAATACTTTTAGGTAAACCTAACTGACACTTTGTACCAAAATTAGGTTCGCTAAATTTAAGTTTCATTCACAAAATTCGTTCGAGATATACTTGGCTATTGTTTAATCGATGCAAAATTCCTATAAAGATATCAATCACCTCAAGTTCGGAGAAAAATATCTATTTATCGACACTAACTTATCGTGTAAAACACCCGCGACAATTTAAAAACAAACAAAATCAAACAAATTGTTTTCTTTTTCATACAATATTAGAGAAACTGACTGAGGTATGGGAAAGCTTAATACTTCCCTCTTACCCCAACATTATCACCAAATGTATCAGACACCAAAACAAAAACAAACCACTAAATAAAAATCGTATGCGTACACATATGGTCCATGCGAGGCGAGCGATGTGCGGAGATGCAGTCATCGCGGCGGCTGCGCCTCCGCGCCACGGGATCTCGCACACCCCATGCCGCGTGACGTCACTGCGCGCACAGTAGCCACAGAATAAAGGCTGTATTAATACCGGGAACGGAGACGCCGTACGACTCGCGGCGCGGCGTCCGACCGAATAAAGGTAAAGAGCGGCGGGCGCTCGTTTGTGCGCCAGGAGCGGCTCCGGCGGCGAGATCAAAGGCGGCGCGGATCAAAGGCGCCGCCGCGCGATCGGCATCCGTCATTATTATTATGCAAGCATTACGGAGCGCGTGAGTCGGGCGCGGGCGAGGGCGCGAGGGCCACGCGAGCTCGCCCCGCTGCTGCTACCGTGCAATGCCTTCGGGACCTGCGCCCGCGCACACCCGCCACGCGTTTTGCACCTCGTTTCACTTTAATAACTCCTTTTGGCAAACATCTGTGGGACGCGACGCCCCGCCCATCGGCCCCTTTGATCTTCTAATTTATATCTACATTCTAATGAGTTCAGTACACTCGATACGATACTTTCAGGTTTCGGAAAACGAACCTTTTGATGTAATTTTTGCTTTGATCAATTTTACATTTTAATTATATGCAATAACTTTATAATGATCTTTTTGATCATTATGTATCGTAAATCAGAAATATGTTAATCGAAATCAGTAATAATTTTAGATCCCCGAAAACACTAGACATTATTTTAAATATTTTTGCTTATTCCTCAACTGGAATATAAATCTGAGCGTTAAACATAAAATTAGGATATACTTCCTTGAGAATAATGACATACTTTCAATACGTTAATTTTATAAAAAGACACAAAAACATTACAAGTGCCATTCACGTAAAGATGACGTCATACACGAATAGCAAATACAAATAACACGTTTTCAATAACAGTCAGTATTGCAATGTAAACCTTTCTAATGAATCCTAATGGAGCATTTAGTATTTATGCACGAATGTTACAAGCCAAGGTTTATGCTCAAAAGGATATGCCACATGGTTGGAACGTCACCGCGACTTCATTTTACCAGAAAAAAAGACACAGACGAATTGAGTATCTCCTTCTTTGGGGAAGTCGGTCAAAAAATAACTGCAACAAGGTTAACATAATACAAGATCACATAATATTTTAAAGCGTAAATTTCAGCTCTGTTGTCTTTCCAAGATGCAGGCAATTGTGTCATTGGCTATACAATGCTTTGCGATTCCGCTGCGTTTTCACATTTGGTCATATGGTTCACATTAAGTTGCCGAGATAACTAATGTACAATGATTAACTTAAGAACTTGTTTCTCGCATAAACATTGCATTTTAATGACATCGGTATAATAATCAATTTTACGTTGTTACAAACAAGAAAATCGAACAGTACAATAACAAACATAAAATAACATCAACAATATTTTACATTAGCTTTTGCCCGCGACTCCGTCCGCGTAAAAAAACTGCGTAACCTATGTGTTCTTCTAGAGTATCTTCTACATCTATACCATTCATTATTACTTTATTATCAATACAATGTGTTTGTAGTTACCTGTCAGAACACACACTACTTTGTGGCCTAGGATGTCAGCAATCACAACATATTGTTGAATGACTCCATATTTTAAAAAAGCCCTAAACTTACGACACGCTTTACGCTATATTCACGCTATTAAACTTAGGGGGTAAATAATTTGGAAAAAAAAACCTTCATGTGACAACCACCAAAACCTAAAAGCTGCCAACATTGCAGTAGCAAGGCTATTATGGTAACATTAATTTTGTCAATGAAATAAAATTTTATAATTTCACTCGGATGAAGCCGCACGGGAATAGCTAGTTAGGAATAATTGTTTTCTTTACTGTATTACGAATTGCAGCTTGCAGCTTTCTATCGTTTCATTCTCATAAGAAATATTACATTTGAAGTAGGAGTCAATTTTGTTGGGGGTGTTGTTCGATGTGCACTGAGCTAAGTAGAATATAATTGACATGCGGCTTGGACCTTCAAAGCCTGTACCTGACTGTAAAAATGCCATACAAGATGGCCGGCACAATGAGCCCTTTGACAGTACCCACCTTTATGATGCCGCCTCTGATATATGATACGAGACGGGCTCATTAAATTTGTTTTATTGACTACCGGCACAGCATCTAGCGGCCGGACAATAAATCAGGACGTCTGAAAGAAGACGCGACGCCGAAAGACGCGCTGTTACAACCAGAGCGGAAGAATTAGCCATTAAAATCATTCAAAATCTTCACGGCTTATTATTCAATCTTATTATGATTTAGTTGGGCGGCATTTTAAAAGCAATTTAGTACTGTTCGTTTTTCTTTAATGATAAACACAAAAAATGCTGTTTTGTAATTTGTGAGTGAGCGTTTAATCGTTTGTCATTAAATCGTTAGGACAGTTAACTGTCACTTCAATACTAATTGTAAAAAAAAACAAAACCGACTTCCAAACAAAATACACGAAAAACAAAACGAAATGCACTAAAAACAAAACAAAATATTCTCAAAAAAACAG